ATCTTAAAAAAATTGAATATTGATAAAAAAAATGTGAGACGAAAAAAAATAAGGCGTAAAGTAAATGATGTAACAATAATATTAATTATTTATTTGATCATTAATGCGTCAGATGACAGCCAACGCGCCTCAGTTGTCAAATATTAACTGACGCACGTCAAGTATCGATCGACACCTGACGTGCGTCAGCTGCATCTGACGCAAATCGACACTTGATGCACAACAGATACATGCAAGCCCTCAGTGATACCTTACTGACGTCTCTCAATAATACTGGTCTCCTAGGTCTTTCTACCAACATACAGCTATTATAACTGCAAGTTAAAGAATGGTTACCAACCTTACCACTCATTGAATGGTTCTATAAAAACTCAAAGTTTTTCAACAGTTAGATCCCAGCACTTTTATATAACCTCAAACGCTTTAACATTGGCCTATCTATACCTGAGCAATATACCCATAGAATATAAGGTGAATCCATTACTATTCAATCAATTATTTTACAAGACTATAGGAAAGCAGCCTCTTCTTTAGCCAAATATTTTCTAATGTTTGTGAAACAATTAACCAGTCAAGAAGAAAAGTCACTGTATACCACCAATGATCTGAGATATTTGTCATCTATTCCTAGAAAAGGACTGCATCTGAAATGGTATCTTAAAATTAGAGACGCACTTAATGTTGATGCATTTAACTCATTACCTGCAAATACAATATACAGACAGAATGCATTACATGGATTTCCAATGCTACCATTACATGATAAAATAACAGTTCGTTCGATTGTTTTATATTGGGAGTGCAATGCTAATACAATGATAATAGGTCGTGTTCTGAAGATATTAGGCAATTTTACTGATATCATTCATTATGCATATATCTTCTCTACTAAAATAATTCTGCATTAATGTGATGGATGTTCATTTCACTGACCCACATTATTCAAAGTAATTTCCTGAACTCAAAAAATACAATTGCATAGTGACCACGTCTCTAAGCTTCTATGAAAAAATAGTACTTAATGATAGTTAGACATAATATGTCAGCACCTGATCTTCGATTATTATGAAGGATATTGCATTCTATTTTTTCAACCGTTTTTATAATCATACCTCCTATTTACCCTTAATTGATTTTTGCCGTCCTGCACCTTTCACACTAATATCAAAATTTATTATGTTACCATATAGTCAAGAACTACTAACTCTTTCACAACAGTTTTTTGCTGCCACACATTTAGAATTCTATACAGATGGTTCTCTTATGGGCTTGGACACTCTTTCTATGAGAATGAGTATGGTTTGGCTGCAAACGAACCTATGTTCACCTATGGTCTCCTTTTCATCTGCATTAGTCACTACATTCACTCATCTTCAATTGCGGAGCTAGCTGCAATATTTACTGCTATTCTTATTGCCCACAGAATTGCCACATTACGATCATGACAGATTCACAAGTTATGATTAGACAATTTCATAATTTTAAAAGAATTCTGTGTTTTTTCCATCCACTAGATTCTTATTTAAAATTAATAATTTCTCGATTTGGCTAAATCTATTTGAAGTTATCAAATCACAATTCCTCAACATCTGCCTCTGTAAAGTTAAAGCAAATTTTAGGAAACACCTTGAATGATAAAGTTGACCAACTAGTAAAAAACGCTTACGAGAAAGTAGCGTTCAGGTTTGATCTCTCTTACATTAACCACTATTACTAGATATATGATAATCTGGAGATCTCAATTCCCATACGTCTCTTTATGAAGAACATTACACAATCTATATTGTTTGATAAAATATAACACCTCCATGTAATTAATAAATACTAGCATTTAAACATTAACTGGACTGCTACGACCTTCTACATTAATAACAATATTGCTACAGCACATACCTCATATGAAGCCTCAGCAGTTCACAAGAAAAAAATCCAAAGTCTCTTAGAAATACTTCTTACTATAGAAATTTTAAAAGAAAGACATCCTAACATCTTTGATCAATCATAACTTTGCGTCAAATGTGATTGCGTAGATGAAACCTTCTCCCATGTTTGAAAATGTCCAGTTACTTGAACTCGAATGAAAAACATCATACAAAACTCACAACAAGTCTTACAAAATTTGAT